TTATTATAACTTATTAATTATTAAATATTATTACAGAAATATGTTTATCAAACTCTGGATGGATTGAAAGCATAATCGGAATAATGTTGGAACCAATCACTCATATATTACCCAAAGAATCCAATTATGATTCAGCACTTCTTCACTCACAACTTACCGAAGAGTTTGCGAAAGCATTTATTAGTTGTGTTCTTAAAGGGAACAGAATTTACTACAGATTTTCAAACTCAGGGGCCCTTCAGTTCGGCAGAGATGTGGACGCGTTTTGGGATTGGGTTGTGAACCATAACATTCAGGCCACGGATATGAATGCCATCGCATTATTGAAGTCAATCAGTATGTCGTTAACCGGCGAAAACAGACCATTTTCTGCTTTAATTCAAAGATCAAATCGTATCAGTCCTTCAAATACACAAATTCATACAAATCAAGTGTCCAATCGTTATACAGCGAGTCCAGTCATTTCAACTAAATATAACAGTTGTCTCTCTTTCATAACGTGTTCTCATTTATAATATAATTAAAATACGGCAGGAATTTTGTACATGTTTTATACTTTGAATATTTCTTACAATTTGTAATTTAAATATAAAATTATCTAAATATAAATTTCTAAAAATACTAGTTGTAAATCAAATAACTGATTATACAATATGATTATAACAATACAACTATCATTTATTCAATAAAAAAGTATTAAATTGTAAATTCATTGCTACAATTTGAGTGCAACACTAACTCATAGAATATCTCGAGATAATCATTACTTCTTTCATTCAAACATTTAAATTGTTAAACTAAAGCCGAGATTGTGTTTAAATTTAATTCAACCACTGATTATCTCCAATACAACGATGCCTTCGAGTCCTTACACTAACTCCAACATCAAAGTGTCAACAGAGCCGGAAACAGATGCCGTACTTCTCGCCACTACCAGTGAAAAAGCTAAGAAACAAAGACAGACAACGGCTCAGACAGTGAATCTACAGACACAACAGGCGGTGCAGGCGTTAGAACCCGAGAGTTCGGTCCCTAAGAACCCGAATGACACCGAAACTTGTGATTCAATGCTCATTCAAGAGTTGGGACAACCAAACGATTTCAACAAATCTTTGAGTACCGATGAAAACACTGACAAAAACAAATCCAAAGACTCTTCGAATGAAAGTCAGAAAAAGTCGTCCAAAGAATCGACTGATAGTCAGAAAAAGTCGTCCAAAGATTCGACCGAAGCTCAGAAGAAATCGGGCAAAGAGTGCGACAAGAAGTGCAAAGACCAGCAAAATAAAGGCCAAAATACCAAAGATCCCAAAACTCAAGCGACAAATAAGAAATAATTGTAACACAAAATTATTATTATTTAGAATTTTTCAATTATCACTCAATTTTATAAAAATGAAATAAACTTAAACATCATTTTTCTAAATGTTTACTTAAGTCTTATAAAATCCTTATTTGTATTAAAAAAAACTAATTAAATATTGATTTTAATAAACTGTTCGGCAATTTTCCAATCAATCATATCATCAATTTCTATACAAAAATGTTTAGGAATCTCAACGACTCCACACTTTCCTCCCTGTATTAAGCCTTCGTTTTGGACTAAATTTGTGGTAAAACAGTAGAAATGTCCCGATTCTATGAATTCACCTAAAATTAATTAAAATATAACACATTAAAAATATATTCATAAATTAAAATTCACGCGTAAAGTAATTGAGGTAACTTTGAAGCAGTTTCACAAATACCTGTCCACTCTTGCCTTCGTGGGCGACATTTTGGATCAAAATTGAGAGGATTTAGTTGAAGATCCCAACGAAGCGAATGACTTTTATATACAGAAAATACAGAATCATATTTTTGTTTTCACAAATACCTGTCCACTCTTGCCTTCGTGGGCGACATTTTGGATCAAAATTGAGAGGATTTAGTTGAAGATCCCAACGAAGCGAATGACTTTTATATACAGAAAATACAGAATCATATTTTTGTTTAATCATTAAATTGTGAGCTTTTCTGAGATAATCGTAATGAAGATGAGGAGACGTGCACTGAACCAAACAGATTTGGTCGGCGCCTAAAACACACATAAACTGTATTATTTTGATATTTTGAAGATAATATGTGATAATCCATGAAAATAATGCACAAACACAACCTTTAACTGTATTCAAGAATTCCTGGACAGCTGTCAAAGACGTGGCCGAATCGGTGGCACTTTTATCGCTTCTTCGGTGAACATTCGCCCCAAAGGACAGAGCAATCGATGCGATCATATCGTCGTCAGTCGACACCCAAATCTCATCAAAAACTGTTTATAAATGTTAATAAAATAATTTTATTTTAGAAATTATTTAAATTGTAATTACCATCAGATAATTTCATGGGCTCTAAAACCCATGCAATCAATGGTTTATTGGCAAACAGTTTGCTATTCTTGTGAGGAATGGATTTACTCGAACCACGAGCTAAAACCAATCCCCAAAACACCATTGTTTTACCACTTTGTAATTTAAAATAT